CAGAAATACTATGTCCGTATCGTCGGCAATAATTACACCATTTTTTGAAAGATGGTTTGCCTTTAAAGTTTGGGTGTTTTTCGTAAATATTGAGTATTTCAGTGATTTTTTCAACGAGGTCTGTATCTGATTCCTGTATATTGTTTATATTTGTGGAAGCTGTTTCAATTCTGTTAACGTATTGTAATTTCAGATTTTCCGTTTCTTCGAGTTTCATTGTGATTTCTGCTTGTTCTAGTTTGTCTACTAGTTTTCGAAAATCTAAATCGGGTTCTCGAATTGACGAAGGATGGGATGCTCTCTTTTTTATTGCTATTTTCCTTAATTGTGGTGTTAAGGTCATCATTAAGATTTCTGTCATCTTTGTGTTTTTATAGTCATGTGTATTTAATGAATATGCTTTTCGAACTAGTGTTTCGATTCGTACTGCTAATTGCTTGATGGTTTCGTTTGGTAATCTGCGAATTTCATTACATAAAACTCTTTGTTGTTGTTTGTTTCTTTCGGAGTCAAACATTTTTGAAAATTCTTGTGTAAACCTTTTCCAATTTGATTTTGTTTCTATAGGCAATACTGAAAACCATTTTTGGGCTGCGCCATCTAGAGTTGTTTGTATTAACGCTGTGCGTCGATGTATCCAGTTTTGATGTAGTGGCGTATTAATTGGTTCAGGTCCTATATTTAAAATCAAATTTGCTGTGACTGCATTTAAATAGTCTTCTACAGAATATTCAGGGTCTGTTCCTGTGAATACCATTAAAGGTTTATTTGATGTTATTGATGATCCACCCATAAGGTATGGATTCATCGTCATTTGTAATGATTCTGCTGCATTTGGCATTTGAGAAAAATTTGAAAGTTGATTTCTTGTTATTTCGTGTTGTTGAAGATAATATGGGAGTGGTATTTCATTTTGCATTTGTGCTGGTTGGTACGAGTTTGCAATCATTGGGTTTTGTTGCTGAATTGGTTGAAAAGATTGTGTATTAATTGGGTTTTGTTGTTGAATTGGTTGTTGGTTTTGTGTATCTATTGGTTGTGGAGAAAAAAATCTATTATATGTATGTGGTTTCTGTATTCCTTGTCCACGATATTCTTGATTATAGGGTGTAAATATATCTGGTTGTAAGAAATCATCATCTGAGGATAAGTAATCCATTTGATAAGATGTTTGTTTTTTATTTTTATTTTGTTGAAAAAATGGATAGTTTTCACTACGATCCTGTGGAGGATGTAAATTTGTTTGGAAATTTACTGAATTAGGTGGTGCCATTGGGTTATCCCAGTTTCGAGATCTTGTATAATTACTAAAATTTTTTCGTGGTTGATAATTTGTTTTTGATGGATGTGTATAATTATAATTATGGTCTGCAAAGTTGTTTCTAGTGAACGTTTTGCGTGTTTTTGGCGGTATTGTCATGGGTCTGTATGTTTGGTAATCCATGTGTGAATATTTTGGGGCAACTGAAGGTTTAACGGTTGATTGTAAGGTTACCTGTGTTTGTGAAGGGTTTGTATTTCTTGGTGTTGTTAAGTTTGGACGTATTGGTGATATACTTTGTTGTGTAGTTGTTGTGTGTACGATTTCTTCATTTATGAAGTGTGATGGTGTCTGGATATCTTGTTGAGTAAGATTCCTAGTTCCATTGAGGTTTTCATTGTGTATGACTGTAGAGTTTAAACTATTATTTTGCATATCGGGTAAAAATGTATTATAGTTTAATGGTGTTGCATCAATGGTTAATGGTATTACTCGTACATAATCTCTTACATAAGATATCGTACTTATTGCTTGACTTGAGATTGATTGTGGGAAGTTTATGGATGCGGGATGAGACCATTCGGGGTCCCAAACATAGTCTGATTGTTCTGTGATGGCAGTATCATCGTTTGAGTTTTGGGGTCTAAAATTTTTTCTTGCTTGTGAAATTAAATCAAATTATGTGTGAAATAATCTATTATGAACCATGCCAAGATTTTTTGTAAGTCGTGTTTTGTATGTTGTGAAACTTCATCTTTCGTGAAATTTTCTTTAATTATATTTAGAAAACTAGAGAGTAGTGTGATTTCATGTCGTACTCTTATATGTTTAGATGTTTCTGTCGGTGAGACATTTGGTATCTGGATTTCATTTTCTAATATCGAGATATAACTATATATTATCGCAAAAATTTCATTGGTGAATATGGAGTTTGCTCTTTGTGAGTTATGATATTGGATGCTTTTTATATATTCTGAGAATACTTTTGAGAATTCTAAATCAAGGTCGTCTGTTTGAATTATATATTTACTGTGATTCTGGTTTGGTGAGCTGAATTCTATGGAGTAGATTCCGTATTGTTGTGTTAGGTTACATATATCTTTTAGATAGTGATCGATAATTTGTCTCTTGATTTTTACATCTGGGAACTCTGTTTTACATGGACTGATTCCGGGTTCAAACAAATTTAAGAGTAAATTTTTGCAGAATATATGCTGTCCTCTATCAGTGATTGCATCTACGATAAAGGGGAAGATATCATCATCATCTGGACTTTCTTCACCTGGGGTGTGCGTTGAGCTCATTTTTTCGTTCGATGACTGTTAATATGTAATTATCAATGTGTCTAATTGGTTGATTCCAATTGTACAAATGTACTGGTTTGTGTTTATACTGCTTTTTTATTCTTCTTTTTCCTCTTTTTGATGAATTTGAAGTTGTTTCTGAGTCAGAGAAATATAATTGATCGTGAATTGGGCAATTTTTATCTATTGATTCTTTTAGTTTATAAAGTTCGTCTAAACTGTTGGTTTCTGATTCTGAAAATGCGTTTCGATTTTTTGAAAATCTTTTTCGTGTTATTTGTCTTTGTTTAGTTATTATTTTTCTCTTTAATGTTTGTCGTTTTGTTCTAATGTATCCAACTGTTGTATGAGGTGTGATTACAAGGTCGTATTTTTTGTTATCTATTTCACAATTGTGTAAAACGATTGTTTGTTTATTTCCTAGGTTTTTAAATGACATAAGGTTTAGGATGACGGATGCAAAAGGTTGTTAAATGATTTCTATTTGCTTAAACTGTTAGTCCTTACGATTTTTTTGTTAGCCTAACCTGGGTCTATTTGTTCAGGGTTGGGGAGAAAAGTATATCGATTCCGAAGAATGATTTTATACTTTCTCGTGGATAGTATAAGCTAAGGTGTTAACTTACTTAATCTTACTTAAGGGTAGTGATTGTGTTCAGGGTTGGAGAATAGTAAATCGATCCACAAGGTTCAGGTATAATTAGAACGCGAGTAGTTCGTTAGATACTATTTTAAACTTAGTAAGTTTAAGATTTATCCTGGGTCTGGTAAGAGGGGGGATCAAGTGAAGGATGAATAACCGAAGTTCTTCACTGTTTATCCTAATTTGAATGATTAGTTTTGTTCAAAAATTTCTATTAGTCCTGGGTTTTTAGAAAGGGTTGGATAGTGAATCGACGTTTGAGGTCGTTAGACACTAGTTAAGTGGGTGGGGGAGAACAAAGTTGTTCTTTTTGATCCAAGGATAAGCCTTGATGATCAAGTTTTAAATTTAATTAAATAGAAAATGATTTAAGATCCAAGGATAAGCCTTGATGATCTGATTTTAAAATTAAGTGAATTTAAGTTTAAAATGTTTTAAATTTGTGTAAAGAATAAATTTAGTATTTTTGTGATATTAGTGAGCTTATGAATGCTGTTATGTTTAGGCGATGAAGCTGGAACAACAGGATGATTTATAATTACTAACCATTTATTGTCATGCTACTAATTTTTATTTTGATTTTTCAATAAATATTTTTCAAACATGTTTTGTATATTACTGCAGAATTTAGGAAAACGATCTGAGATCTTTTTATCAATCGTTATTGTATATTAATAATTTTGTTTAGCGCCTGAAATGATTTTGAAGATTGACTTCAAAATTTTATGTTTGCAAATGAAAATCTAAATTCATTGCTAGTAGTATTCTAAATACAAAAGTTTGTTCTGGCTTTTGCCGAACTATCATATAACTATTTGGTAAGTTTCTGCTTTGTCGTATGTCGTCTCTGGTTCGAGGTCTTCTTCCAATTCCGGGTAGTTCTGTTATCGTTCGGAATATTGGCTCTGATCTATTGAGTCGTAGAGACATTTCGATTAAATTATTGTCGTATAACATTTTGTAAATGTTTTGTCTAAATTCTAATCTATTATTGGTTAATTCTAAGCTATTAAGGTCTTGTTCGAGACTTATGGTCGCACCAGATGAGTTATGACCGATGGGTATAACTCATAGAGTAATTTCGGATAGGGTACACCGTCTGCTCGTCACGCTATCTTATTTTCGGCCGGATAGATTCGTGCAACTTCTTAGTCTAATACCGATCCTAATCTTACTCTTATACTATCTAGTCTCAGGTTGTTTAACTAGTCTCTGCTAGGCTCAATAGATCTAGGGTATACTGGTTTATTGCGGCTGCTGAAGTACTCGGGAGAGTTCAACTAATTTCTAAGTTAAATTCAAATCTCTCTGGTGCTGAAATTACAAGTAATTTCAGCACTTACAAATAAGTGGATTGTTAGTCAGATGGATCATGATTGGTTAATATTAAATACTTTACATTGGTAAAATATCTAATTTATCCAATCATAAAATGTAGTTTAGATCAGGTTCCAAAACTCATGATAATTTTCAGTAGGACTGACCAGCTCAATATTTCATTCGCCAATTTTCAATAACTCTTGCATCATCTACCAAAAATTAAGTTTTTTAGGCATCGATCTCGATTGTGTCATGCCAAAAATAGTCTCAATCTTGACTTGTTACCATTGCTTTAAATTCGTATCCAATTAGATCTTGACAATCGAAGTCCTTCCGTAATTGTGACGTAATAATGGCAAGACAATTGCAAACACCAAATGGTATAAATTCTCGGCGATCACTCCAACAACGCAACCACTGTATATCATTATAATACCATATTTTGTAATTTTCGTGACGCAGCTTTGCAGTTTTATACTTAAGCAACCAGCAAAAATTACACCTTTTTCTGCCGTCACATTTCTAATTTGGCATTTAAACGTACATGAGAGAAACGTTTACAAAGCAACCACCAAACATTCAGAGTAAACAGATGCAGTACAAGTCATACCAACCAGAAAAACTTAATCAATAATAATGATTATTTACATCAGATAAACCACAGCACGCAAAACTATTTCGGCGGCTACTTGCTGCCGAAATACATCGCAATTTCACTTTACTCTGACCAAATCGAAAAGTTCTTTATAATAACTTATTTATAATATTAGTCACAAACAAAATCAACAAGCCCTTTTATACTATATTTGCGTAAATATCATTAACCAACCGATCCACTGAACCGCAGTTCCCGGTAAACTTTCTACGTCTAAAACTATAGCTAAAACTCGAACTTCATCAATTGATTCGTAACCAAAAATGCCTCGAGGACGTGGAAAAGGTCCACGCGGAGGATCATCCAGGGGCGGAAGAGTCTCCAAAAGTAGACGAGGAGGAAAAATCTCCAAAGCACTCACGACAAAACTACGGAGCGACGACAACACTCCGAAAGAGACTCAGAACTTGGATATTGGCATTGAAGATGTTCGAGGTTTGTTCATAAATAGCACTTCATTCGAGCAACACTTCCAGTCTCAACAGAAAAATCCCCCGGGTTACCAAGCAGCCATGCTAGTTCTAATTAAACACAAACTCGAACTCAGTTCTGGGTCTAAAGCCAGGGCTCTGGCGGCTGCCATTGCCAGACACGACCACGACTTGTCCAAAGTAATGCTTAAAATGCCAGAAGTATTTGGCATGGTCGAAGTCACGAAGGCGCTATCCATGCTGGACGCAAGCCGGCAACTGAAAATATCTGAGAAGCGACTCGAAAAACTGGACGCTATGAAAACTGAACTCGGCTACAAGGTAAAGGACAGCAAATTCTCAAAATTGAAAAACAAAATCGGAAACCTTCAGGCACTTAAAGTCAATGGATCTTTGAGTGGGGCAGTCGCAAAGCAAATCAAGAAGTGGACATGCACGATTCCCAAGTCAGAACTGGAATTCTACGCTTTGCATTTTCCCAAGGATCCCTGGAAACAGGTAGCTGATTTGTGCCATTTAAACCCAAAAAAAGACTTTCAACTAGAATGGTTCCTCGGGTTCTGCTTCGGAGGTGAAGCTCCAGAAGATTCTCTTGTTCACCAATGTTCCAAAATCACCAAAGAAAACTTAAACGAAGTGATTCAGTCAATTGACATTCCATACGCGTATTTGAAGAAGCTTAAAGACTGGTTCGACAATGAAACTAAAATTATAATTGCCAGGAAGCAGGATTTGACTACCATCATCTGGTGGTACGAAGACCTCGTATGCCCTGAAGTCACCAAGATCATAGAAGATAAACTAAACGCCGGCCAAAAAGTCAGTTTCAGCTATGGAAAACTCATGGAGCGCATTTTCACGCTGAACAAAAGCTCTTCAAACAAGCAAATTGTAGAGAAGCTAATCGACCAAGCCGAGAACCAACTTCGTGAAATTTCACTCACGCTCAAATCGCCTATAGCTGTTTTGGGCGACAAAAGCAGCTCTATGCAAGTTTGCGTCACCACAAGCAACATTATTGCCAGTTTGCTCACAATGATATGCGACGCACATATCAACTTCTTCGATTCCCAGGTAGTTGAAGCTCCCTTTTACCCTTCCAGTGTGGAATCTGTTTTGAAACTGAGTGAAACTATTCGAGCTGGAAGAACTACTGCTCCTGCTGCTAGTTTGTGGCCCTTTTATGAAAAGAAGCAACCAATCAACACCTTCATAGTCGTAACAGACGAAGAAGAAAATACTTCATACAAGGATTTTAGATTCACTGAATTGTACAAAAAATACACCGAAGAAATTCATAAAGCCGAGCTAGTTTTCGTCTCGTTTCTTCGAGGTCAACACGACGAAGGTCAAATGGTCAAAGATCTGAAGAAAAAAGAAGCTGTAAAAGGCGAAGATCTGAAACAATTCAAGTTCGACGCAGCTCGACCCGACTTGACCAAACTTGATCACATGTTTGCTGTCTTGTCCACAAGTGGAGATTGGTATGAAGTCGAAGTCAGAGAAACCAAAGCAAGAATCGAAGCTGATGGCCTATTGAGCGCCGCTTTCAACAAAATTAATTTGGCAGAAGAGGATAAAAAGGATGGCTGGGAGTGTATTTAAACTCCATCTATTTTTTAATTAGTAGTATAAAATCACCTGTACAAATAACGCGCTGTACAAATTTTAAATATAACCTAATAACTTGCACCAAGATATTATATTGTTTGACCAGAAAATTATAGCTTCAATACTAAAACGATATTTTTAGCAGACTATTTGGCTTTTCAAAAAAGATTCCCCCAAAAAATTGATTGAGAAGGATAAACATTGCCAACAGGCAGTTGGAAAAGAGTCAATGAACGCAAGTAAACAGAAAAAAAACCCAACTTTCGAACCCCAAGGAAAATAATTAATGCTCTAAAAGCTCTTTGAATTTCTAGAACAAATTATGACACCTTTTCGATAAAATTAACCCAATTTGAAAAAAACCGGATCAATAAATAAAACTTTCAATTCGCTAAGAAACCTGGAAATTAAATTCGACTTTTGAATCTAGAAGTCGATCATGTTTTTTGTGACATTTACACTTTTTGCTGTTCATTAGTGGAGTTTGCCCTCCTTTTAACAATGAAAAACAGTGGATTTTTTAAACAAATTAGCTGAACTTGAAAATAAACTACAACTAAACACGCAAAGAAAATATAGTGAGCCTGCCTGATCAAATTTCAAGACTTTTCCTGGGGAAAAAAACAAAAAAAATCATCACGACCTATATAAGAGTCTGAACAATGCTCATCGACTCTTAAAAAGAAATGTTATTATTGGGATGGAACGGTTGATGTTGCAACTCTTGCACAATTTATACTGCAACCACGTAGCTTTTTTGCGATAAGGGAGTTTGGGTTACTTTCCTTTTAACAACGGAAATGCACTGAACTTTAAAAAAATCACAAGTCAAACAGCAAAAAATCAAAATTGAGCGAGAACAAATTTTAACACTTTTCCTAAAAACCAAAAAAAAATCACCAAGACCTATATCCTATTTAAGAGTACTCACTACGTTCATTACTCTTAATTAGGGAGAACAGGTTAAAAATCAATAACCTCGAAACATAAAACTTCAGCTATTTACCGGAATTAAACCACCGATCTGGAGAATTACAGCCTCACGACCTCGCGTCTGCGCCATGCTCGCTTACAACTCTGCAAATACTTACCATCAATTTAGCAGATAAAGAGGGTATTTAACTGGCAACGATACGTAGCCACTATTAAGGACTTTTAATTGCGAGTTGGATTGAAAAAGTCTAGTTTAATCAACAAAATTCAACGCTTGCTTGTTTAATCAAGAAAAAAAACAGCGAAATAATATGAGAGAAAAACTCTCAAGCCAAAAAAAAAGTTTTTCATCGACGGAACTTTATTAAACGAACAGACTGCAGTATTAAAAAGACTATGGCCAGCAACAAAATAAAATTGAAAAAAATCACACAGCGGGGACCATTTGGATCGACGCTAGTTAGGCAGAAAAAATTTGAAGTTATTAAGTCTAACCAAAATAAGTCAACCGTATAGTGCCTTTCAGTAGTCAAACCTCTAAACCAAATTGCTAAAATCTCAATGGTAAATAAAAAGGCAAATAAAGGAGATTAAAATAATTCACGTTTTTTTTCTAAACCTCTGAGAGAACGCGATAAGACCCTGAGCGGAAAACCTGACTTTATTTACAGCTAGAAAAACTTGCCCTGAAGGTCAAAGAAATAAACAGTAGGTAAACGGTTTAAGTGGATACCGTGCGAACATCCGATATGTCAAACATCCAAAAAGTGTTGCAAACACCCGAAAAACAGATTTATTAGGGTAAACATCCAACATTTTGACAAAAAAGCAAAAATCCGATTTTTACTGCTCGCTAAGAAGATGCTGTATTGGCCGAATTGATAATGACAGCCGCATTGGTTTCAACATGATGCGAGCTTGCCAATAGAAGATAGCACTCTTTATGAAAAGTATAGCCGTTTATCGGCTAACTTGAACCGAGAGTCGTCTGAATTGGAATTGGCTAACTGAACTACATCTTGTGTTCGAAATTATTCCGTCATTTTATAAAACATTTATTACATAAATTCGGATGTTTGACATAGCGGATGGTTGACATATCGGATGTTTACCCTAGACCCTAAACTGTTGAAGTTGAACACGCAGCAAACCATGTAATTTAGCATATTTATCTAAATCAGTACGCTACCTCCTTTTAACTGAATATTATATTCGCCAGATCATGGTTTCATATTATGGAGTTATCTAAAAAAAAACTGCGGTTGATTGAATTCATTTCTGTGGTTGAGGCATTCAATATTGTTTACTAAAAACCAAGATCAAATTGAGCAGAAGGCAATACACAATTTTGTAATTCTTATTAGTACGGAACTATTTTTTTTAGAACTTGTAATTGGTTGTTGCACTTGGCTTAAGAGAGCGTTGAAATGAGAGTATCAAGTTAGATATTTTTGTCAAACCGGCGTCACAAATTTCCAAAAAATTTTGTAGTAAAATTCAAGCAAATTAGAAGTCAACCCGATTAGAAAATGAACAGAAAAAAAAACGAATTCTAAAAATGGCTAAATTCCGGCAAGCTGAAACACTTCTTCGTTTTCGCCCACTATCGTACTTCGGTACTCTTTAACGACTTAATATTAACCTGATAAGGCAATCGAGCTCATACGTGCTTGCCAGTCCCAAGACAATCACTATTCATGAAACCGCCCAATAGTTATTGAACCGAAACGCACCCTACCAAGAGGCCACCGAAGACATTGATAACTCACACTATTGCTTTTATTTTCAGTTTTCGGCACAAAACTTCAACAAAGAAGAACTCGATTTTCGACTAACTCGCAACGGTTTTCGACTATTTTAATAGTTTGAAATTTATCGAACATTTGCTTCTATTTTCTATTATATAATCATTAGAATAGCCACCTGTTGAAACACTTGAGCAGCGTTTAATTTTAACTGCACCTATTCTTGTTGACTATTTGCCTTTTTCACAATCAAAGCGCTTTTGATTCATAAACACAAATATGCAGGGAAAATACCGGATAGCTCCGAAAACAGCTTCCAAAATACCATCAAGGATAGCCGGTTACTGTGCAAGTAGCACATAAGGTTTCGACTATAGCCTTAAAAAAATACAAAAAACTTTTTTTCAAATTAGTGTAGTTTTTTTCTGCGAAGTAAGATAAAAGAAACTGAACGAAAAACTAGAACTTAGTCGTTCAGACAACCATAGTAGAATACGCAAATTGGAAAAGTGTTTTTGCAGACAAATTACTAGAAAAACTTTACAATTTATTTTGCAGAAAATTTTGAGTTTTTGATTCCCAAAATGGTGCCAAAAAAACTCCAAAAACGAAGTTTACTCAAGTAAAATTAGAAATTCACGACCTAATTAAGCATAACTAAGCTATTGTAAGCCTGTTCGCTCACCTTAGCCGCTCGAAGTTAGACGAAAAATCAAAAATTTCAAAGCAGTCTTTCGAATCACGTTTGGAAGTGATTGTTTATTCAAATCACAGCTTTAGAACTTACTCGTTCAGACAAGCATAGTAAAATACGCAAACTGGAAAAGTGTTTTTGTCGACAACATTAGGATCATTATTTGTGGTACTTACAAATTTTAAGAGGACAACAAAAAGAAAAAAAAAGAAATTAGTTGAGGTACTTACAAATTTTGCGAGAACAACAAAAAGAAAAAAGTAAAACACACCCGAATACAAAGTTCCTCCCCATTTTCAATAGTCGAAACAATAACTGTGAACAAATATTAGTCTTAACTTGACCAACCTTTGACTTGATAACTCGTTCACATATCTTCGCTTCCAGTATTTTCTTCTCCGCTATCTCGTGATCTTCTGGCAATCTAATGGAAGACGCCACTCCATGTAGAAACAGTGCATGCATGCTCATAGATAGGAGACGACACTGAGTCTGCAGTTCTGAGAGGAGTACTCTAGTAGAGTGGTCTGAGTCTATGATGGATCTCTGTAGCTCCTCGTAGGAGAGTGAAACCTTCTTCAGTTGGCTCCACTGGTGGTGTAGGGATTGAGACAAGGCACCCAGTGTGTTGTTCCTACAATTTTCATTTCATATTCCGTAGAAACTTTTTTAGGGTGTGAAAAACGAAAATTTTAGCGGAAATTAAAATTTGCGCTAAATAGTTATCGAAGTAAATTAACGCCCAACAAAAACAAATTAACGCCTAACCTTGTGTTCCGTAATTTCAAAAACAAGAAATTATTTATTGAGGGTGTCTTGATGTTTTTAATAATTTCAAAGCTTGATTATATTAGCTCTTACTGATATTCAGAAGCATCGTCAAACTGGAACATCCTCGCCATCGTCACCCAGCTCAAAACTTGATCACAGACATCAAGGAACTCAAACCGGAGCCTCAAAAATGTCCGCTGGAACTCCTGATTGGCCATTTTTGTTTGAAAAGACGAGAGCAACCGAAGAGCCATGTGGTAGTTTTTCAAAACAAGTTCAAAGTCTCGATCTTCTGAATTCGGAAGTTCTTTCTCCGCAATGCAAAGAAAATTCAAAACCTTCATCCATGAAATTGATTTCGATGACCGCGACTCACCAAGAATATTTGAAATCAGCTCGTGCGCACTTTCATACTGGCCATAGCGCATCAAATTTCGAGAAACTTTGTATAGAACCCAATTATTTGTGCATTTTGAAATGATCGCTTCAATCCATTGACTTTGATTTGTTTGATTTTGATGAAAGAAACTGGAGGAAAAATATACGGCTACTAACGTTGGCAGCAAACCTTCAGGAAGATTAGACACATTTACATTTTTAAGCGAACTTGTAATTTCACTGACGTTTTTCTTCAAAGTTGTGACAAGTTTTTCATTTGAATGATTTCGCTCATATAACTTTCGACATTCATCGATAAACCTTTCCAACCATAACATCAGACATTTATAAGATTTGAAAGATAACAACTCAAAACTATTCGCAGAGTTTGAGGAACTGTCGACTATCTGTGTCGTTAGCGCTTTGGTAAGGCTGCGATATATCGAAATGGAGCATAAATTGGCAGAATCTAAGATTTGAGAAAGGACATCGAGACAACTGCATATGAATGCTTCGCTGTTTTGAGATCCGTTTTGAAGAGAGTTCCCAAGAGTGTACTCGAATACAGGAATGAAGTCATCGAACTCGGCTGAAACAAGGATTTAATTCTGGGTCAAATGGTCAATTATAGCAAGCATCATTTAGAACGCAAAAAATATATTGTTTGAAACCAGATCAACTCAAATAATTTTGTGACTTACTTTCGTCTGAAAAGATGAAATAGATTTACGATATAGCAGTTAGAAGGAGTTTGATTAAAAAGTCTGATGTAAACTCAAATTAGCAATGGTTCGGTACAATTTTAAGTTTAACTTTGATTTTAGCAATGATTTTTCTAGATATTTGCTCAATATCATCGCCATCTCAAGCTGTTGATATTCAAGAATGGCAGAATAGGTCATATAGAACAATTGAAGTATAGGGCTGTAATCATAAAAAATACAGGTTAATATAACTTTCTGCCTAATATAGCTCTGCTTTAATATACTTTCTGCTTTAATATACCTCAATCATTATAATTTCATTTGAAATACGATTCAATAGTAAATTTTCTAATGTAAGCCGTACCAAATTTTGCGTATAGATTGAGTGCATGTACAACACTGTATCCCTCTTTAGTGAAACAGTACTCTTCGCAAATCTCCATCACTGCCTTCACCAACTCCTTCGAACTCTCACTCCCAGTTCCAGTGTCCATTGAATCATCAGGTGCTGCTTCTGGAGATCCAAACACACTGGACACAGGTAAATAAGAAGCCACTCGCACACTCTGGCCGAAGAGTTTCTCGTTATTCTTTTGGTCGATGCAAAATCTGAAGAAACAATTTGGATTTTTTTCGTGCGCTAATTTACCGTTTCAAGATCATGAGCCATGAAAAAATATGATTATGATCATTAAATTATAGCCAACTGAAAATTGGAAACATAGCCAACTGACATTCGGAAAAGAGTAATAAACGCAAGGAAACTGAAAAAAAACTGATTTGTTTTTTCAAAAATCTTCAACTTTTGAATTTCGAAGAAAAAAATAGATGGCCTTAAAGCTCTTTGATTTTGTAGAACAATTTATGATGGACACTTTTTTGTTAAAATTAACCCAACTTGAGAAAACTGGATCAATAGGTAACTTTTATTGCACTTGGAAATTTGATAATTAACTTTCATTTTCGAAATCACAAGTGGATCAGGTTTTTAGAGGCCTCCACGGAATGTTCCGACTAGAAAGTTTTTATTTTCTTTTTTCTTTAAGTTAGTGCCTTTCTTGACGTCGTGTGATAAAAGAACTAAACGAACGCGTAGAAAATTAGTGAATTAGGCATAAAGGACTACGATTGTCACCAAAAAGAACAAATATGCAAAAATGAATTCCAAAAAATTTGAATAATTTCGAAAATTGTTTGTTACCAGAAAAACGCTAAATCAAGCTTTCAAGTTTTCTTTTTTTGAAAAATTATACTTTTTTAGCCCAAATTGCTATTTTTCATATTTAACAAACGTTAGTATATCGCTTTACTCGCTCGAAAATAAAGAAAAACCAACAAATTCAGACCGGTTTTTCTCGATATTGAATTTTTTTTTGAAAATTTTCTCATGTAGTTCGAATGACGACGGAAAGGGTTTTTAATATGACATACCACACAACCCAGTCCGATGATTATTTGCGGTACCTGATTTTGCATGGAAAACAAAAAGGCTAAATTTTAATGGTCGGAACAAAATTAAAAACAACTGAAAGCAGAAACTCGGCTCGATTGAGCCGATCTCAGCTGGTTATACCTTTTTGTGAAATTTTGGTCGGAAAAGTATAGCTCGATCAAATTTTGCGAGAAAAAACTTGGAATTCAACAGTCAACTGGAACAGTTTTAAGCTAGATGTTTGTTCAGTTTTTTGCGGAGAATCCAAAAAAAAATGAAGGATAACGCAAACAGCCGGAACAAAAAACCGTCAAGATTGATGAAAGTTGCTTTATAAAAAGACAGTATAACAGAGGCAGAGCAGTCAGAGAATATGATTATTCGAAAGTACTTGCAGAGAAAATAGAGACTGTTTTCTGCAGTTTCCGGCAAATAAGCCGACAGTTGTTAAGAAAACAGCCGATTTTGGTGGGATTTTAAGACGACGCTACACACAAAATCTCCAATTATATTTCTGAGAAAAATAATTTACCTAAATTCGAATAGTTCAATTTACATGTTTTAAATCTCATTTGTCGTCTTAATGTAATGCCTACTTAAGGTCGTTTTATTTACCTAGCACCGTTTTCTGTATGCAGCAGAAAACGTGACAAAATGCTTAATTGAACCCATCATAAAAATAGCATTGTTGCAGGCAGTAAAATTTTTTTCAGACCGATGGAAATGTTACAAGGACCTAGGTATTGAGCATCAAACAATAAAAGATAACGAAAATCGCGTTGAGGGAATATGGAAAATTGCAAAAGTTGAACACAAAAACCGCCGGGGAGCTAAGAACATCATTGGCTTCATATCTCTATTCTGTGGCGTAAAACCCAAAAAACTGGCAATACGGACTTATTCGATCGAATAATAGATGAATTGAGGGGTTAATTTTCTCTACTTTGAGGGGACTGAAAAAAGCCCAGAAGCAAAAAAAAATGGCAAAAATTAGGTCTTATAGCAGGAAAATGAAGGATAAGGAGAGAGAAGGCTCAAATAAGCCTTAAAACATAAAACTTCTGCGGTGCCGGAATCCCGTCCTCAAGCTTATCGAGCACACTTCTTTTTCATCTGCGCTATGATCTCACAACAATCGTAAAACACTGGCACAAAAAACAGATACATCAGATTTTATTTTACTACCAATGCTATGCAGTAAAATTACAACCAAATAAGCTGGATAAGAAACAGATTCGTTATATACCACTACGCAGGCTAGCTTACTTGCATCAAATCATATCGCAGATCTAAGGCAGCAAAACCAATAAAAAAAATCGTAGCCAACGGAGGAACGGTTGGAAAAATGTCAATGGACACGAAAACTGAAAAAAAAAAAACTGATTTATTTTGAATGTATTTTTAAAGAACTATATAGATTGCCTTAGAGCTCTTCGAATTTAATTTTCTATGGCTGACAAACTTTTACAGAAAGGCAGAGCGAAGCTTCGCATCACTTACGATACAACGGTAGCGTAGCATTGCAAGCTAATGAATAGACAGTGATATGGGAAAAATTGAGTCGAAAAAAAACTTAAAATTTTCATGGAATTACGAAAAATTCAATCTCAGAAAAACAGACGAGAAATGATACCACTAGCATTAAACAAGTTTTAGAGCATACTGAGCGTTCACTATGCCAAAAAAGCTTTGTTAGACATCAATTGATCTGTGAACAAGAAATGCTTGAGAAATTGCTGTCATTGAAAAAACTTGATGAACAATCAACAATTTTTTTTGGAAAAACGAGAAATTCAATCTCAAAAAACAGACGAGAAAAACAACCACTAAATTCAAAAAAAAAACTGTAAATATTTTCCCAGTCTTCACCAAGCCAACAGCACAGGTTGGACATCAATTGATCCGAAAACATTAAAGGCTAAAAAAAATTGATGTCATAGAAAAAACCAATTATTTACGTACTTTCCGAGCGATCACTAAGCCAAAAATACGTGGTTAGACGCAAATTGATTCAAAGATTCAAAGGAAATTATTGCCAAAATTAGATAACCTTTTTTTTTAAATTTAAACCGATGCGAAATAAGTTCACTAAACCGACAAAACATGAGCCGAAATTAGTTATGACGAGAAAAACCGCGAGGCAAAAAAAATAAGAAACTTATGAAGTTAATCAACAACTTTTGAGACTTCAATGAAAACTGTTTGCAGCGCAAAAAAACTGTTGTGAAGCAATTAAGCCGAAACATGCGCCGACAAACTATAGTCCGACTATTCAATTTTTCACGGAAAAATTTCAATTGCAAAAAAACAAGGTCCGGCCGAAGCCCAGACCATCGGGTGCAACTGCAACTGCATTACCTCTAGGCCAAGAGAGAAGGGCCCTTAAAATGAACATAGCCAATCGAAGATTGAAAAAGAGTAATGAACGCAAGTAAACATAAAAAAACATGGACTTTGTAGAAAGAAAAGTAGATTTCAGCTTTTTGAATTTTTAGAACGATTTATGATTGGCGCTTTTTTGATAAAATTAACCTAACTTGGATCAACAGGTAAAGTTTTAATTCCACTTTCGAAACTAGAAATCGTTCACATTTTTATGCGCCCTTTCCACGTTCGCATTTGGAGAGTGCTATTAACGTCACTTTCAGCAGATTAATTTCAATTGAACTCAAAAAGTGCAAATATACCTAAGTGCATCAATATTCAAAGACTTTTTACTTTAAAAAAACAAGAAAATCAGCAAGATTTATATAATATTTAAAGACTTTTTCCTAAAAAAAATCAGCAAGACCTTCAGTACGTTCGTTACTCTTAAAAAACAACGAAAAGTTAAATTTGAGCGCAAACAGCGTTTTCCTGAAAAACAAACAAATGTAAAACAGTCTTCAGTTCAATTATTGACACTTAAAAGTGGTTGATGTTGCAATTTGAATCTCGGATGCAAAAGATTAACGTAAGTCAAACGTTTACTTGAGCAAATGGTTAGACTGTGTGTTGGTCCATGCGTGGGACACCCTCTGTGCCAGTTGGAGGAGACATTCCAGACAAGTCTCTTGTATCTCCACTCTGTCTGTGTGGATGGTCAGGTAGTCCAGCAATTCATCAATCACCTCTTTGCACATCACTCTGTACAAAAATTGGTTTCATGATACAATATCCCATTTTTTGAAATCACCTGCCAAAAGATCCCTCAAGTCAAACTATGTTTTGAATTGTGCATCATCTGATGGTACGATTTGCAAGGAAGATTTTAGCGTGGAAGCTTTTAACGTGGGAGATTTTACAATGGTATCATTTTTCCTTGACACCTAAAAAATGACGACAATGTATATGCATACAATTTGGAACCTTTAGGATCAAAAATTGTCTTTGAACGGAAATTCCGACTATAGGTGCCATTGCAAAAAAAAGAAATCAAAAACAGAAATGCAACCTCGGGATACCATACCTATAAGCAACGAAGTTTTCCACTGAACATTCTTCTTTTTTAAACCTTTTGTAGCCACAATAGCTGCAAATTTCAGGATCAATTAAACCATCAGTGGACTTGGAACGGTTCGGAGATGCTAACTTGTTGTAGATTTTCATCATCCACGAAAGCAATTCAACATGATTATTTTCTCACCTGTTGCGTATTGCAGTTCTAGTTGCTGTATGCAGAATATGGACCAAGTGTGGAGTGGTGTTGAATGTGTTTCCATAACTCAACACAACTTGAATCACTTTACAACTAGATTGCAGACAGTGTCCACAGCTTCCCAGGATGGTAATGAGAGAAGTCACGTGGTCAGGACAACATGTCACGCTGTCTAGAAGAGCTTGAACCTAAACCACAAAACGGCATGGTTTATTAGTTGCTCAAACTCTAAGATATGAGCTGCAATGTCGAGAATAAGCTTCATCAACGCAACTATTGCAGCCATATTTGAGCGTAAATACCGTCATTTTCCAGAAAGGAATAAATATAAAATAACACTCCAACAATATGTTCAAGAAAATTATACATTACATATACCTTGCAGCTTTCAATTTTTGAAGCCAAAAATCTTCCAATACAGTTCTCTCATGAGCATCCCCATAATAATATATCTATAAAAACTAGTTAATGAAACCATTTCAAGCTAGCGATTTTGACAAAAAACGCTGAAATCGTATTCACCTTAGTGAGTATCATTTGTGAGAACATAGGCGAAGTTGTAGCGTACTGCTTGGCGGCAAAGAGAGCAGCCTCAACCTCCACCTGATCATTGGAGTCCAGTGCATTCCTCACAAAATGGTGGCAGCTCACTTTCTCCCTCCCAATCGAACTAAAAACAGGATTAAAGCACAATGTGTTATCCTAAGAGTACACAAGGCTCTTTACACGAGAGTAGTCTTACCCACTCGTTCAGCCGCTATCATCTCTGAATGTAACAAGTACTCAATGCGCACAATGAGACGTTCTTTAACTTCCTTGTTCCGTAACGGATCTCAATGTCTGAATTGAACAGTCAAAAACAAGTTAACCTAATCGAGGATCCAAAAGACAGCAACCATGGACCAACCTGAACACACCCAGTTGTCTGAGAGTAAGAGACCGTGCCACTGGATCATTGCTGTGCATCACAGATTCTATCTTAGTGAGATAGTCTGCCTTGTTGATTATCTTGGCCGCAAAGTCTTCAAGGATGAACTTCTCACATACATTCACGACGTATGCTCGCACTAAAAGAAGCACCGAGCTTGGAGAAAACGAACCCATGAAAGTGCCAAGCGTTTGAAAGTTCTCATTGACAAAAAATTGAATTACGCTACAAAATCAATAAATTATTTATTTAAAAAACATAGCCAGTTAATGCGTGAGTCGCGCAAAATGTTCCGACTACAAAAATATAAACACAGAGGCGAACCAGATTTTATTTAATGCAATACAGGACAGAAAATCGAAAACGTCCAAAAAAATCCGAAAATGTTTTAAAAAATTATATCTATCAAAATTAATGAAGCTGGTCTTGAAAAAATAACAAGACAAAAGAATGGGAAATTTTACCAAGCGGTAACAAAGGTGAACAAATCCGAGAAGAAAAACTTAAAGCCGATGAAAAATTTCAAAGTCTTCAAGAGTCCCCTCCCCGTAAGCCCACCCGCTCATGATTTGTGTTGCTCATCACACGATATTTTGTTGCTCATTAGCCGATATAGTACAGCCCAAAACCTATAAAGCAAAAAAAAACAAATTGAGCAAAAAACAAGAAAAGCAACAAATCGAGTTGGTAAGTTTAGAACCAACATAAAAAACCAACTTGAAATAGGACGGATATTTAACATGCTCAAAATATGTCTGCTTTAGTAAATTTCAAAAAAAGATGAGTCGTGCAAGGCTTAAGGAGATGAGTCATGTGAACAAAGTTATTTACTGGACAAGAAGTCGCAATGGTAAAAAAAACAATTCTAAGAAAGATTCAATTTTTTAGATTTTTTTAACATACTTTTTATGCAAGTTTACTTGTAGCCGATAGGAGAGATTCAATTGTTTTATAAAACTATAAGAAGCTGATAATAGCTAAGACCCCATTAAAACTCAGTAGAATTGAATAGCAAGCTCACTCTCTCATTCATTATTCTCCCACTCACTCGTTTTATTGACATGTAAATGAGTCCGAAATTTCTTCTTTAAATTCGAATCAAGGCTGAAAGGGCTTTAACATGATACCACGCTTGACCCCTACAAGATTTCCTTTAGGTGTCAAATCTGGACGGAAAAAAAACACCCTACGCCATAGTTCATTCGCTAGTTACTATATCCGCCAAGTTATACACTTGAACTTCCACGAGTTCCACTAAGATATTTGCAGACCAGAGTAAAATTTTTAAATCATTGGTTTTTATCTACCGTGGTAATTTTTTCAAAATCTTGCTTTAAACCTAGTATCACGAAACATCGCAAACAGTTGTTAAGTGACATGAAAGTGCCAATCAAACAAAAAAACAAATGACGTTTTGAAATTTTCGAAATTAAAAAAACATAACGTTGAACTTCAAATATATTTTAGGACCAACAAAAAAGGATTGGGCTAAAATTTGCCTAGTCTAGGAACCAGAAAAACATCACGACTACTTAGGTGTCTTCACTACGGTCAATGACACTTAACAAACAGACCAATGAATTTTTTAAGAGCCAAGCAAACAAAGAAACAAGAATGGCCGTTCGCCGTGCAAGTAACACAGAATCTTCCGGCCACATTCATAAAAAAACGACCACATTTTTTTCTCTTTTTTCGTAAAGCTAGTGAAGTTTCTAGCGCGTGGTGTGATTGTAGAACTTTACAAACACGTTAAAAATTATTGAATAAGGCATAATTTTAATTTATTTTTCGACAAATTTTGATACCAAGGAACCGCTATATGAAACTTATTTCGTACTACTAATTTCATAGCCTACGATCCTAAATAAAATTTAAACTTTCATATAATGAACGTTACTCGATCGCTTTACTCGCTCGAAATGGAATTACTACTCAAAAATTTAAGACCAGTTTTTGTCAACAAGGACAACTTTTTGAAATTTTTTATGTCATTCAAACCACGACTGAAAAATATTCAACAAAAAAATGAATCGATCCATTTCAATGATTATTTGTCGTTCTTGATTTTGCGTGATAGCAAAAAAAAAAGAAAAAAAACTAAAACACACCCGATCAAAGTTCCTACCAATTTTCAATGGTCGAAACAAGAAGGTTTTTAAACAAACGGGATTCGAATTCAATGCTTAAAACAATTTTCACAACAGGAATCGTAATCCCAATAAATATCAGTAAATAAGGGCAAAATGAGAAACTTTTAAAATTTGATGAATTGATACCACTAATTTTCTGTGATCGGATTTTGTGAATGTTTTATATATAAATTCACCATTATTAATTTGTATACACAGAGGCGAAGCTGAGGTTCGCACCACTTGCAATGCAACAATTATAGGATGAAAGCAACATGAGCCTCAAAAACTAGCAAACCGAACTTCGAACCAGGCTATTAAAGCAGGAAGTGGAAAAACGAAAAAAAAAAACATATAAATAGATATATATTCATTTTTTTCAAAGACGTCCTAGTGGAGTTGACTTTGGGCATACAAAAATTGGAGACAGAGTCTGCCGGAAATTTAAAAGAAAAAAATTCAGTAAGAAACCGACTGAAATAAAGCCGACAGCTGATTAGCTGAAACTCAGCAGAAAGTTTTTGTCAAAAACCATATTGAAAAAAATTGCATGTAACGCCCAGATAAGATCCACGCTAGCTATGAAATAGTACGTGCAAAGTCACCTTCAGAATTTGGAAACTAAACCGACGAGCTTAAGTCGACGACCATTAAGCCGAAAAATCTTGAGCAGAAAATGAGCATCGAAACTTTATAATTATACACACGATTTGCTTTCTAGTTATAGCATATATCAGTATAAGTATTATCTACCCAGTAGTTAATTTTGAATTTTCATCAAAATTGAGCATGTCAGCTGCATAGCCTCATCATAAATGATTCCACTGATTTTGCTAAACTAGTTGTTATCCTGAAAAAAACTATATTCCGATTTGACAACGCTTGCTAATCGCAAGCGTAATAACTTGTGTATACGTTTATGCATAATGTATATACTATTTATTAACATGTGGCGTAATGGATGATTTAATATTTTACTTGAAAATATATTTTTGGCAAAAGGTTTAGTAACGCAAAAACAGGAAAATATAAGAAAAATTCTTCAAATATCAAAAAAAAAACAGGATTATTATTTTTTTGACGAACAGAAAAATACATGCTTCTAAAATTATGTCTAAAAAACGAAAATTTGGACGGAAATGTGCGGTTCTGTCACAAAAACCGATTTAAAATACCCAGTTCCAAATACCACTTGTGTTGTGGAAGTAAATCAAACCGGGAACATCATTAGCAGCTTCAAAGTCGAAAGCAGTTGACCAAAAAATATTCTTTGATTAATTTTGGAAACTAATGGAAAGTACTTAAACCTGTATTGTTCGCAGCTCGGAACAAATCCGCCAGTTTAAGAAAAGCAGAATTAATCAGCACTGGAAGTGGAATCTGGTTCAGTATAGTAGGCAGTGACACTAGACTGTCAATTTGATCTCCAGGTAGGCCAGAACCCCTTGTCCAGAGAAAGGATCAACAGGTTTCCCTGGTGAAGGTCCAGCGTTCCCAACGATCCCTCTCCCGCATTCATAATAACTCAACTATGCTATCTGAAAAGTGATGCTAGATGAGCAAATTCGATAGCATTATCAACAAAGCTTTGAACAAACTACTTTTGCTAGGAAAACATTTGTAGGTATTTGTCTTTCACGTAAATGGTACTATTTTTTCTTGGGCCAATTTGGGAACAAACTTATTGTCCACTTTTCCGCTTCATCTTACGTCAACCTAGCATCAACATGTCAGTTTAAAACATTAATTTGAATAGCAGTTCACTTTAAGCTGAACTCTTTGCACTTAATCATCGGATTCAAGTCATTCCACATATTCATTCCTGAAAACTCTCTCTTGCTCTAGGAGCTCTGCTTCTATTTCTTCTATCATTTCGACTTCATTTAGACATTTCGACTTTCGTCTAAAAAATCAGAGGTCCAAAATCCGAAGAAAATCAAGCCACTTGAAGGGCAAGAAATCGAGAATTGCGAAATTCAATTAAAAATTTTAAAAATACCAGAATATTCCAAAGCGATTCGATCCCATGCCGACCCAAAGGGTCCCCCCTTTGATACTTTTTCAGAAATCTATTTTTGGCCGACCGACCCTAAAACTTTTCTAAAGGCGCCAATATATACTAACTTTGAGGGGGAGCGCGCGCAAAAAAAAACGCGATTTTTTTGTCAAAATTTTTCAAAAAGTTCCCAAAAACGGCTTTTTTTGACTTTTTGAATGTTTTTTTGGGCAAAATAGGGGCAAAACAGTGCTTTGGGAGAGCTCGAAAAATCATTTTGGTCGACCTAAAAAAAAGTGGTTGAAATTTTTTTTTGAAAATCCGCCCCCCCCCCCTCGAGAAAATCCTAGATCCGCCCCTGCCGAAAACAATTGTTCTTAAATAAATTTAAGCTCGAAAAACTTTAGAACCTAGACTTCCAAAATCTCCCGGTAGTTTCGTTTTTTTTTCTCAAAAAAAGTAGCATCGAAACGAAAACACAAAGGTCAAAGCAGCGGTAATAGATATACATTTTTAGGGAAAAAAAGCTTCACGCTGAAAAGACCAACGAAAAACAACAGAAAGGCGCTTTAAGACGCAAGAAATAGAAAAATAGCCCTTAAGGACATCAGGATAGCAGGTTGCCTGTTGTTTTGATTAAATCTATGATATCGGACTTGGCAGGATAGTTAGCGAGAAAAGTCCAGAGAACGGTCAACAAATCAAAAATTTGACATTTCCGAGAACGATAGCTTTTTGTATGAAAAAATGGACGTTACCACTTATGCAGAAGGGATTCATGCAGCCTTTAATTTTGATTGACTCCAAAATCTCAGATTTGGGAGGGTAATTCGAGAAAACTTTCAAAAAAAGGTCAAAAAGAAAAATTTAAACTTTTCCGAGGGCCATAATTTTTGGTGTAAGAAAAATTTGAATGCAAACACAAAAAACTTAGGTTCCCAAAAACCCCTCATTTGAACTGAACCCAAAATCTCAGATTTGGCAGGGTAGTTTTCGAGAAAATTCATTAAGATCAAAAAACAGTAGAAAAAAAAAAGACTTTTCCGAGAGAAACAATTTTATGTAAAATACTTTGGGAGTTGATGCTAAACCGGGGATCTTCCCACTACTCAGTATCTCCATATAACCTACATAATCAGATTTGAGAGCTTAGTTTTCGAGAAAAGTCAAAAAGATCACAAAATGGTCAAAAAATAATTTTTGAATATTCCGAGGGCCATAATTTTATATTTAAAAAATTGTTCGAAGCCACTCATGCCGGAAAATTTTTAAAATCGTTCTATTCAAGAAAAACAAAAGGTTCTATTCAGAGGAGAATATTTCGAAAAAACGAAAAAAAAGTCAAAAAAATTGGTCAAACATTCAACCCACAGACTTTTTCGAAGGCTGTAGACAAAGGGTTCAAGTGAAAAGAGACTCTAGAGAGTACGCAGGCACACAAGGGAGAAAAAAGTTTTTCAATTGACACCCCTCTTTCGAAAATCAGTAGAAGTTTCTGACAAATACTAAAAATTTTCCAATAAACTTGGAAATAATTTTTCATAACAAAAAAAATTCAACAAAAGGATTGGTAAACATACAAGAACTTGAAAAGTACGGAAGGATGTGTTAAAATTATATTTCTCTTAAAACAGCCCAATATTAGGTCCTTAAACCGATGAAAAATAGGCCGAACTACTTTGGGCCGAGGAGCTTTTGCGAAAACAAAACAAAAAAGGAAGTACGAAGTCAAGCTGACCAAAAAATTAATTTGTGGGACTAAATCAAACACTAAACGCAACATGAAAGAAAAATGCGCGAAACAAAAAAAATGATTCCAAGACGCGACAACTAAGCCGACAACAGATAAGCAGACAAATAATTAGCCGAAAACTTTTTTAAGCAAAAAAAAACAAACAAAAAAGAAAATATACGAAGGTTAGTAGAATTACAAATTGCAGGAGTAAATGAAAACATAAAAAGCAACTAAGACAAAAACTTCATTCGGCAAAAAATCTAAAATATGGTATCAAGGCCAAGAAAACAAACAGACGAATAATAAGCCGACAATGTTTTTGTTTAAAAAAAACAAGCCCCGATCAGATTCGAACCCAGGACCTTTGCTGCCCCAGGCGTATTCGTTACCTCCAGACTAGAGTCCTCGATATTCATAGTAATCTGAATTCATTGTGCGGCAAGGTACCAAGTGATTCTGTTAAACAAAATCACAAGCGTAAATTCATTTTTTTTCAAAGACGTCCTAGTGGGGTTGACTTTGGGCATACAAAAATTGGAGACAGAGTCTGCCGGAAATTTAAAAGAAAAAAATTCAGTAAGAAACCGACTGAAATAAAGCCGACAGCCGATTAGCTGAAACTCAGCAGAAAGTTTTTGTCAAAAAACATATTGAAAAAAATTGCATGTAACGCCCAGATAAGATCCACGCTAGCTATGAAATAGTACGTGCAAAGTCAACTTCAGAATTTGGAAACTAAACCGACGAGCTTAAGTCAAAGACCATTAAGCCGAAAAATCATGAGCAGAAAATGAGCATCGAAACTTTATAATTATACACACGATTTGCTTTCTAGTTATAGCATATATCAGTATAAGTATTATCTACCCAGTTGTTAATTTTGAATTTTCATCAAAATTGAGCATGTCAGCTGCATAGCCTCATCATAAATGATTCCACTGATTTTGCTAAACTAGTTGTTAACCTGATAAAAACTATATTCCGATTTGACAACGCTTGCTAATCGCAAGCGTAATAACTTGTGTATACGTTTATGCATAATGTATATACTATTTATTAACATGTGGCGTAATGGATGATTTAATATTTTACTTGAAAATATATTTTTGGCAAAAGGTTTAGTAACGCAAAAACAGGAAAATATAAGAAAAATTCTTCAAATATCAAAAAAAAACAGGATTATTATTTTTTTTACGAACAGAAAAATACATGCTTCTAAAATTATGTCTAAAAAACGAAAATTTGGACGGAAATGTGCGGTTCTGTCACAAAAACCGATTTAAAATACCCAGTTCCAAATACCACTTGTGTTGTGGAAGTAAATCAAACCGGGAACATCATTAGCAGCTTCAAAGTCGAAAGCAGTTGACCAAAAAATATTCTTTGATTAATTTTGGAAACTAATGGAAAGTACTTAAACCTGTATTGTTCGCAGCTCGGAACAAATCCGCCAGTTTAAGAAAAGCAGAATTAATCAGCACTGGAAGTGGAATCTGGTTCAGTATAGTAGGCAGTGACACTAGACTGTCAATTTGATCTCCAGGTAGGCCAGATCGAAACCCCTTGTCCAGAGAAAGGATCAACAGGTTTCCCTGGTGAAGGTCCAGCGTTCCCAACGATCCCTCTCCCGCATTCATAATAACTCAACTATACTATCTGAAAAGTGATGTTAGATGAGCAAATTCGATAGCATTATCAACAAAGCTTTGAACAAACTACTTTTTCTAGGAAAACATTTGTAGATATTTGTCTTTCACGTATATGGTACTATTTTTTCTTGGGCCAATTTGGGAACAAACTTATTTTCCACTTTTCCGCTTCATCTTACGTCAACCTAGCATCAACATGTCAGTTTAAAACATTAATTTGAATAGCAGTTCACTTTAAGCTGAACTCTTGGAACTTAATCATCGGATTCAAGTCATTCCACATATTCATTCCTGAAAACTCTCTCTTGCTCTAGGAGCTCTGCTTCTATTTCTTCTATCATTTCGAATTCATTATCGTAATTTGACCCAAAATGATTGTCGGCTCTAGCAGAATTTTGATTATCTAAGTTTGAATTTGTACCGTTGAAACTAAACTTTTCGGACCTCGTGTTCATATACATTTCTCTACTAGACGACAATGATGCTTCATTATGAGGATTTGGAATATTGTGATTTCTTGTCATACATTTTTTAATTTTGATGGTCCAAGCATTGATGCACTTTTCTTGGACGGCAGTGTCTTTGAGCAAAGAATTCAACTCATGTTCCTTTTCAGTTCTGGTCGCTAATATGGTCTCAGCTTCGCGTACAGATACCTCCAGTTCCGAATAAATTTTATTTAATTCCTCTTCCTGGAGTTTCAGGGGTTCGATGACATTCAAGTCTATTTTTGCCCTAATTAGTCAAAATATCAAATGAAATTGAAGACCAAAACATAGCGAACAGACAGTTGGAAAAGAGTCAAAAAACGAAAGTAAACAGAGAAAAAGACTGACTTGATTTTGAAAAAAAAAACTTCAACTTTCGTAGTTGGAAGCAAAAAAAATATGGCCTTAAAGCTCGTATAATTTCTAGAACAATTTGTGATTGCCACTTTTTTTTGACAAATTTAACCCAAATTGAGAAAACTGGAAAAAACTTAATTCCGGTGGAAAAACTAAGTTTCACTTTCGAAACTAAAAATCGATCGCATTTTTTGCGAAATTTTGGCATTCATAATTGGAGAGTGCATTTTGCCAACCTTCTAAAAAATCAACTAGAATTGAATTGCAGAGTCTGAACGATGATCATTGACTCTTAGTAATATCGGGACATATAAATTATCGGGACACAGATAACACAAAGCCGAAGCGGAGCTTCGCAACACTTGCCATGCAAAAAACACATGGCTCTACAAAATGGTGAACAAAAAAAAACAGAAGTAAAAAAAAACTCACTTACACAAGAATGGAAATCACTTACAGAGCGGCAAAAAAGGCGGCAAACTTTGGGTCGAAACCTGTGGAGCCAAAAACAAATCTATTGGTCTGTTGTCATAAAAAATTTCATAAAATTTAAAAGTTATTACGACCCATCCAAACTGAAACACAATCCGAAACGGATATATTTTGTCATCGAAATTACGCAAAATAAGTTGACTAAGTCGATATAACATAAACTGAAGCTGTTTGAATTATTTAAAAAAAGCGAAAAACTCAAAATCAGATATGGTAAATTTTGTAATTTGGTAAGTTAGTACAAACTGTTTAAATTGGAAAAAACCATGCTTTAAAAAATAAACCAACGTAAACCCTGCCAGATAAAAAATGGCGATCAAAAAAGCGGAAAATTAACCGACAGATTCTAGGACGAAAACCACCAACCCAAAAAAATGAATATTCTTTGAAAAGATATTTACAACCTGAAACAAATTTGAACAAATGACCACTTATATGATAGAAATGAAAGTGAAGATCCTACTTAAGTGAAGATTCTCTAGAGATCCTTTAGAAGTGATCCTGTGGACAAAGTAGTTTACGGGGAAAAAGTCATGTACCCGGTTGCAATACCCTTGCTTATTGCAAGGGTAATGAACATAGCTAACTGAATACCAAATAAAAGACATGTTTACATTTTTGTCTTTTCGAGTCTTCTGTGGAAAAACTTGGCATAACTAACATTCTTTCCTGAGATTTGCGCTGTTCGCTCAATGAAGCTGCAGCAGACAATTTGCCAATTTCAGCAAATCCTTTAGTTCGAGAGAGTTCCAAGTCATCATTCAATGCTTCTATCTCTGATTTCAGTGCCTTATTGGCGCTATTTCTCTTCTCCAGAAACGATGCGAGCCACTGAGATCTTTCTTTTTCTATCTCTGTATAAATTCCAAGTGTATCAATATTTAATACTATGTCAATACTTCAATTTTAAATTTTGGGCAAATTCGAAACATTTTGAGCAAATTGTAAAATGTTGTTTAAATAGGTTTAGTGCCATTCTGCCATATCATAATTCAATGAATCCTACTTACAAGTCCAGCAACTTAACAAACTTAACAAAAATATTTGAGAAATTATAGGATCCCGGAATCTACGAGTCCATAAAACTTCGTAAACAGTCTCCCTTAGCATGCTCTTAAAAGTTTTAAACTAAAACATGACCACCAGATTAACGAGTGCCAAAAAAGACAAAAAAAAATTCGCCAAAAAACATTCGTTTTTAAAAAAGGTTTCACATTAAGTCTTTTAAATTCAGATTGACCTTAACCTAGTTCAACTCTGACTCTACTCAGCTTCTGATTTGCCTCTACTATCTTCCCCTCCAACTCTCTCTTCAACTTAAACAACTGCTTCTCTTCGTCTTTTCTCTTCAGCACTTCTTTCTCCGCCTCCACTGTCTCTATCTGCACTTTCTGCAAATCAGCACTTTTCCCTTCTATGAGCTTCTCCAAAGACTTCACTTGTAACTCCATGATTTTATTCAAATTTGGGTTGATAGATTGATTTGTTCTTAAAAAACACTATTTTGTTACCAAATCGGACCAGTACAAAAACTTCTCTAATTATGAGTATAAAACAAGCTCTTTCAATCAACATCCTCGAAGCTATAAAGCAGTAAATAATTTTAGACATCATTTTTCGAAAGAATCATTGGATATCAATACTGTGTCTATAGCTTTTTGACGTGATATTAATAAATAATAAGTAGATAATAAGTATTAAAAATTTAAGGCTAAAAGAAGGCTAAAAAGACGCATTTCAAGACCAATGCGTTTTGTACCTCGCATTTCAAAACTAAAATCAACAATGTGTTATAATTATTTAGAAAAAATACACAATGTTGAGTCTACCTTTCTGCTAGTACACGCTTTTGCTTTTATGAAGGTAGTAATCCCAAATCACAAAAAAAATAAAAACTCGAAAATCGGGTTTAGATTTCAATTACACGCACAAACAAAATTTCTTAAATCTAAAACTTTCAATAACTTGAAGTATTCGAATCCATTAGTCCATAAAAGAAAAGGCAAACAATGAGATTAATCAGGTGTTTTGAAATCAAGAGGACAGTTGGCACTCCATAAAGAGGTTGACAAACTAACGTACATGTGAACATTCGACGTCTCACTTTTGTGTACTTTCTTCAAGCCAACTTAATCAAACTTGTTTTTATGCAAAGCTAAGCAAAAACTTGTTCAACACAATGAAAAGTATATATACATAATGGTCAGAGCATAAACTCTTAATTGAGATACCAAAAAGTATAAAACCACAAAAACAGCTTGCCATTGACATAAAGAATTAAATCAGAAACTAAACTTTTACAGCAGAAATGCTTTCTACAAAGATCTAATTACGTATAAGGGTTAATTCAACAGAAGAACAACAACTTCGTTTGTTTATTTGACAAATTGATCGAATTCCCGCAATAAGTCTTCATTGTTTCGACAAAACCAATTACAATCTAACATCAGCCAAATAACAAATCAAATCTCAATTAGGCATCTGAATTGAAGAGCTCAACAGAAAAGTGACGCCGATTTTTGGATTTGAGGAATCATAAGAATTGGGGAAATTTACTAATTGGCAAATCAGAAGAGGGTTTAGGACAATACAACTTCTGGAAAAAGAGCGTATATATTGAAACATGAGTGTGATCAAAGATGAAGTAGTGTTCAAGGGGCGAACTGTATTCAACCAAATAAAACTGAAGCCAAGTGGAGAAGCCAGCAGCAATGAATCAAATAAGTGGCCCAAATTCATGGCTGTGAACGAAAATAGCAGCCGAATCAACTACTACCAAGTGGACTACAACGAGGACGAAGGAATCAAGTTCAAGTCTATGTGGACAATGGACTTCGACAAAATACACGATTTTGATTTCATCGGGGATTTCTTGGTGATAGCCGACGGTAAGAATAAATTAAAAATCTTTTCGCGTTAAATATTAACTCTGGTTGTGATTCACTCTGAAAATGTTAAGCTAAAAACCTATCAGATTACCTTTCGTCTGAAAAACCAGAGGTCCAAAATCCGAAGAAAATCAAGCCACTTGAAGTCGTTAAGGGCAAGAAATCGAGAATTGCGAAATTCGTTAAAAAATTATAAAAATACCAGAATATTTCAAATCTACTGAAAATGAAGCAGCATGAAACCGTGAAGGTTGGTTATAATTTATGTAAACAAGCAAAAAAAACATGTCAAGAATGCCATTTGCCAGCAAGAAATCAGCATTGAAACAGAAATAAACTAAGTAACTAAGCCGACAACACGTTGTGCCGAAAACAATTGTTCTCAAATAAATTTCAGCTCGAAAAACTTTTGAACCTAGACTTCCAAAGCCTCCCGGTAGTTTCGTTTTTTTTCTCAAAAAAGTAGCATCGAAACGAAAACACAAAGGTCAAAGCAGCGGTAATAGATATAAATTTTTAGGGAAAAAAGCTTCACGCTGAAAAGACCAACGAAAAACAACAGAAAGGCGCTTTAAGACGCAAGAAATAGAAAAATAGCCCTTAAGAACACCAGGATAGCAGGTTGCCTGTTGTTTTGATTAAATCTATGCTATCGGATTTGGCAGGATAGTTAGCGAGAAAAGTCCAGAGAACGGTCAACAAATCAAAAATTTGACATTTCTGAGAACGATAGCTTTTTGTATGAAAAAATGGACGTTACCACTTATGCAGAAGGGATTCATGCAACCTTTAATTTTGATTGAATCCAAAATCTCAGATTTAGGAGGGTAATTCGAGAAATTTTTCAAAAAAAAGGTCAAAAATAAAAATTTTAACTTTTCCGAGGGCCATAATTTTTGGTGTTAGAAAAATTTGGGTGCAAACACAAAAAGCTGAGGTTCCCAAAAAGTCTTTGAACTGAACCCAAAATCTCAGATTTGGCAGGGAAGACTTTTCCGAAAGAAATAATTTTGTGTAAAATACTTTGAAAGTGGTCGCTAAATCGGGGATCTTCCCACTACTGATAGTTTTTGAAGTTGATAGTTTTGTTGACAAATAGTGAGATAATTATTATAATAAGTGACGCTTGAACCACGACTGAGCGTCTATTTACGTTTGTCAAAAATAATGCGTCAGCTTATAACGTATTTTGACGAGAATTCGTGTAAGAACAATCTTTTGCTTTTATAATTTAATTCCGTGAACAGGTTGGATCTATCTCAACATAGCCTAATTGTTGTGATAAACTTACTAAATAGTTTCATGTGATATGATAATGGTACGCTTGTAAGAAGTCACGGGACGGGATTTTGGAGAAGCGCGTCAAGCCGCAATACTCCCCCTTACCCGGACACAACCGCAAGAACCTCCACCCGTGAAAAACCAGTGAAGGTCCGTGCCGAAGCACAGGCAAACCAGTGATTTGCAAAGCATACATCCACGTATCATGTAGCGGGCTGCAGAGCAGCAAATTTTATTACGATGGGTTCTCCTGCATAGAACGCACCCCTGAGAACTTTGCATAAGTATTTAACACCACCAACAGACCACCAAGCACAGCCCTCATCGAATCTCAAGAAGAAACATCACCGGCAATACCCACAACAAACGTTCCCCTCCGACTTCTGGAAACTTATCGACCAAGAACTTGAATTTAAAATAAGATACATACATAAAAACATCGTTAACTGGAAACCGCTCTTCATATTCCTAAGCAAGAAAAAGAAGCCCGATTTCGAATTCATTGAATTACTGAACCAGCAGCTGTTTTCATTAGTAAAGAGAAACACCAAACTCTAACGACGCAATGAAAATAGCAATGACTCTCCCACATTTGCTGCTTCCCAAAACTAAATCCAGAAACAAACGGATCCAATTCCATTACTCTGAGTCTCCGCATAATTTTGTGGAAACAATGCTTCCAAATTAGGCATCAAAAACAGAAAAAAGCTAAGTAAACGAGGAAGTTAAGCAATTCGGATAAACTAATGAGTACTGGCAAAGAATCTGCCGCCTTTGGCTGTCTTTCAGACAACAAAACAAAAAGAGAACTTCCCCTAAACGAAGTTATTCGAGGAAAAAAAGTCTTTAGTATCCTGAAATAAAAACACCCCTAAGCCAAAGCAGCGTACACTATATAACTAAAATAAGTGAAAAAACAATGCTATACCACTCCTCTATATGGGAACAAATAAACGACACAACAGTTCAAAAATTAACCCTAAAACGCACGGAGGCCACGGTTCTTCAGGTCTAGATGCGAACGAATGGAGGATTTTAAAACACCTCAACCAGACATCCATTGAGTTTCATGTGATATGATAATGGTACGCTTGTAAGAAGTCCCGGGACGGGATTTTGGAGTCAAGCTCGTCAAGCCGCGATACTCCCCCTTACCCGGACCCAACCGCAAGAACCTCCACCCGTGAAAAACCAGTGAAGGTCCGTGCCGAAGTACAGGCAAACCAGTGATTTGCAAAGCATACATCCACGTATCATGTAGCGGGATGCAGAGCAGCAAATTTTATTACGACAAGATTGAAAAAAAAAGATAGAAAAATATATTGAAAAACGAAAGATAGAAAAAGATTGAGAAAAGAAAGATAGAAAAAAGAAAGACAGAAAAATATTGAAAGAAGAAAGATAGAAAAAGATTGAGAAAAGAAAGATAGAAAAAGATTGAAAAAAAGAAAGATAGAAGAAAATTGAAAAAAAGAACGATCGAAAAAGACTGAAAAAAGAAAGATAGAAAAAGATTGAAAAAAGAAAGATAGAAAAAGATTGAGAAAAGAAAGATAGAAAAAAGAAAGACAGAAAAACATTGAAAAAAGAAAGATAGAAAAAGATTGAAAAAAGAAAGATAGAAAAAGATTGAAAAAAGAAAGATAGAAAAAGATTGAAAAAAAAGAAAGATAAAGATTGAAAAAAGAAAGATAGAGAAAGATTGTAAAAAGATTGAAAAAGAAAGATAGAAAAAGATTGAAAAAAGAAAGATAGAAGATTGAAAATAAAAAGATAGAAAAAGATTGAAAAAAGAAAAATAGAAAAAGATTGAAAAAAGAAAGATAGAAAAATATTGAAAAAAGAAAGATAGAAAAAGATTGAAAAAAGAAAGATTGAAAAAAGAAAGATAGGAAAAGATTGAAAAAAAAAGAAAGATAGAAAAAAGAAAGATAGGGAAATATTGAGAAAAGATTGAAAAAGAAAGATAGAAAAAGATTGAAAAAAGAAAGATAGAAAAAGATTGAAAAAAGAAAGATAGAAAAAGATTGAAAAAAAAAAGGATAGAAAAAAGAAAGATAGAAAAAGATTGAAAAAAGAAAGATAGAAAAAGATTGAAAAAAGAAAGATAGAAAAAGATTGAAAAAAAGGATAGAAAAAATAAAGATAGAAAAATATTGCAAGAAAGATAGAAAAAGATTGAAAAAAGAAAGATAGAAAAAGATTGAAAAAAGAAAGATAGAAAAAAAGATGAAAAAAAAGATAGAAAAAGAAGATAGAAAAAGAAAGTCAAATAAAAAAAGATGAAAAAAAAGACAGCATAAAGGACCGAAAAGCGAAGGATTGGAGACAACTGTTCGGCAGTTTTACTATTTTGAAGTGAATCGACAAAACAACATTGAGAGTTAAAAAATTAGGAGTCGGGTAGATAGACATAATCAAATTAATTATAAATTGTCGAATTAATTAAAAAAGCAGGTATACAGACAGACAGACAGATTTAATTTGGCCTCAAAAAAAAACTAATGAAAAATTCATGACCTTGTGGAAAATTAATTCAAAAATTTTTTAAGCATTGCAATTTAGGATATAGCTTAAACATGAAAAAATTGTTGTTAAACATGCAAAATTATTACACTTAAACATGGGAGATAGCTGTCATTAGCATTTAAATATAGTATAGATGGGTTCTCCTGCATAGAACGCACCATTGAGAACTTTGCATAAGGATTTAACACCACCAACAGACCACCAAGCACAGCCCTCATCGTATCTCAAGAAGAAACATCACCGGCAATACCCACAACAAACGTTCCCCTCTGACTTCTGGAAACTTATCGACCAAGAACTTGAAATTAAAATAAGATACATACATAAAAACATCGTTAACTGGAAACCGCTCTTCATATTCCTAAGCAAGAAAAAGAAGCCCGATTTCGAATTCATTGAATTACTGAACCAGCAGCAGCTGTTGTCATTAGTAAAGAGAAAAACCAAACTCTAACGACGCAATGAAAATAGCAATGACTCTCCCACATTTGCTGCTTCCCAAAACTAAATCCAGAAACAAACGGATCCAATTCCATTACTCTGAGTCTCCGCATAATTTTGTGGAAGCAATGCTTCCAAATTAGACATCAAAAACAGAAAAAAGCTAAGTAAACGAGGAAGTTAAGCAATTCGGATAAACTAATGAGTACTGGCAAAGAATCTGCCGCCTTTGGCTGTCTTTCAGACAACAAAACAAAAAGAGAACTTCCCCTAAACGAAGTTATTCGAGGAAAAAAAGTCCTTAGTATCCTGAAATAAAAACACCCCTAAGCCAAAGCAGCGAACACTATATAACTAAAGTAAATGAAAAAACAATGCTATACCACTCCTCTATAAGGGAACAAATAAACGCCACCCAATCAACCAGACATCCATTGAGCTTTGCTAACTAATTGCAAAGCTAGCCTACTCAATAGCAAGTAAAGTTCTCCCCCATGAAAACCTAGCGGCGTTTAACTTGTCTCATTTGATACATCTACACAAAAATTCAGGGGGTAAGGCCTTTTAGTATATGCGAGGTTCTGAGACCAATAATTGACAAAAGAATCATCCATTGCATAAAATCGGTCCATAAAAATCACGGAAGAAATTTGCAACTCAGTAGTGTGGAATTGAATATGTTATGCACAGCTTGAGGAACGAGTTTGAGAAACCGGAAACGGCCGCCATACTACTTATTGATGCCGAAAAAGCCATCAACTCGCTCAATAGAGAGCTTTCTCTAAATAAGTCCTTTGACCGGCACTACAACATGAGCTAGTCAATTCAGACAAAACATCCCTAAAAATTATATGTCAACAACACGGTTTTGAGATCTACCTAAGGCACAACGCAAGGTAGACCCCTTGCAAGGAGTATGTACGGAATAGGTATAACCCCAGTAATCGAGCTCCTGTGAAAACCAAATGTCATCCAAAAATGGTACGCAGAAGACGGAAGCGCTGCAAACGGAAGCGGTGCAATACTCGACAACCTAGATGTACAAGGAAAGTCTTTCGGCTACAATGTGAAACCTTCCAAGTCTCAACTCATAATAAACAAAAACCGTCGGGAATGCGCCATAAAGTTATTCCAAGCCACTAACAAAAAAATGGTAACAAAATGTAAATAAAATAATCAAATAGTATTGAAATGGTAAATGCATGGAAAGCGAAACTGAAAAGACAAGTACACTAAAAAATCTTTCCAAAATAGCTAAAACATCACCACAAAACAGATCTGCTACACGAATGAGTTCAAAAAAAATCAAGCGTCATAACCAGAACAACTCAGGAAGCATTTAAGAAAATGGACATAACTGAGAAAAACGTGAGACAACAGCTACTTCCTAGTATTACTGGTAAAAAACCATATAACAGATGAAGATCGCAGCCGTTTTGCACTATGACTTTTCCAGCATTCATGAGTGGTCACGAGCAATTTTCGATTCATTAGAAAACAGTGATCCAGAAATAGCTGAAACGGAACAAACTCTCATAAAAATGAACATCAAAACTGAGAGACAGAACATCACACTCTCAAAAAAGCTTAAATTATAGAAAATTGCTCATCAGAAAAAAGCTAACAAAAAATCTAGCATCACAGAAAGGAGCATCGAACTGGCTAAGCGTGCTACCCTTGAAAAAGCACAATTTTTCCCTCAACAAATCAGAGTTTGAAGATGGATTACATCTGAGATCTGGTTGGGAGCCACCAAACACTCACCATACATGCCCATGTGGACAACCGTTCACGCTGACCCACTCTCTACACTGCCCCTAAGGTGGATACACTCACCTACGACAATGAAATTCGCGATACCTTTGCGACACTCCTGGACGACGTATGCCATGATGTTGAGATAGAGCCGAAACATCATTGCACACTTCGTCCAGGAGGGACGCATAGGTATCACGAATTTCATTGTCTTAGGTAGACGAAGTATGCCATGATGTTGAGATAGAACGGAAAGAGCATGCAAGAAAGTTTCTAGGAGACGAAGTATGCCATGATGTTGAGATAGAACGGAAAGAGCATGCAAGAAACTTTCACCAGGACGCTCGAAATGACATCAAGGCAAATGCACTCTGGGGAGGCCGAACCTTTTTCGATGTAAAACTTGTCAACCCCATGCTAAATCCCGCCCTACACCTGTATCTGGCGCCTGCAAATTTCATGAGTGTCAAAACATTAAAATACCAACAAAGAATTTTAGATGTGGAACACAGCACCTTTGTTCTACTAATTTTTAAGTGTACTGGAGGCGCAGCACCAGGCTCTACAAAAACCGTCCAGAAACTAGCAGAGAAATAAAAAACTAAATTACAAAAGGGGCCCTTCCGTTTAGTTACGGTAAGTGCACAAGCTGGATAGGGCCATACCAGCGATATAAAAATGCATATATCAGCAATGAAGTCATAAATCAGCATTAAATGCATCGTCATAATGTTAATTTATCTTAGCCGTCCTTCCTCTACAATAGCGCTTATGGAGTTGTCGATAAATTGAACTTTGCGTTTTTCATAGTTTAAGTGAGAAATAGGTTCAACGCAACAAGCAGAGAAATTAAGCGAAAAACGGAAGGAATCATACTCCGACACTATAAACTTTGTAAGAAACAAAATAAGTTTTGCACTTCTGAGGAGTGCAATCCTCTGCCTCAGTGGGTGCAAAAAACTTTCAAATACATACAACATAGACAATTCCATCAGTGCTATAATCGAGGAGGGATGGTTTTAATTGGCAATTCTCTGATGTTTTCAAATCGATTTGATTTATTCATAAAAGTTTGCCGATGTATTTATATAGCGCTGGTATGGCCCTATCCAACCTGTGCACGGCCGTTGGATGACGGAAGGGCTCATTTTAATTCACCCCCTTAGAGAAGCATCAAGTTTCTTGTCGAAGCAACTGAATGGAGTTATATGTTATCAAAATTTAAGTCAAATTGAGCTGCTGCTTGACGAAGTGGCCACGAACTTTCAACTCACTTTGGAACTTAATGGAACAAGGTTCCGTTGCTGAATAAAATAGCAGCAACGTGCCTCCATTCTAATTTTACATGTTTTGAAAGATCGGCCAATCTCCAAAAATGAGCTATTGAAAATTCATAATTTAAGTGAGAAATAGGTTCAAAGCAAACAAATCTAGTAGCATTGGGTGTTGCTTTTGTACCAAAAAGAATAGATAATTGAAAGAAAAATAAATTTTACACACAGAGGCGAAGCTGCACTTCACAAACCTAAACGACAACACGGCAAAACAGCTGTTGTATTGAAAATGCTGTTAGAAAAATTAAAAAATCTGCCGACGGTTTTCAATCGTCAGAGCTAGAGATTTCGAATCAAATGCCTTTCCATTAGCGCTTACAAACCTTCATTCATCAGTTGGCAATAAAGTCGATAAAACACGAGCAGTACACGAATACTAAGTGCGCATTTATGCTGAGCACTAATTTATGCAAGTTAGGTTGAAAAAATTAGACAGACTGTAAAACACTACGCTTGTCCTAAAACACTAAAATCACAACTGAGAGACAGAACATCACACTCTCAAAAAAGCTTAAATTATAGAAAATTGCTCATCAGAAAAAAGCTAACAAAAAATCTAGCATCACAGAAAGGAGCATCGAACTGGCTAAGCGTGCTACCCTTGAAAAAGCACAATTTTTCCCTCAACAAATCAGAGTTTGAAGATGGATTACATCTGAGATCTGGTTGGGAGCCACCAAACACTCACCATACATGCCCATGTGGACAACCGTTCACGCTGACCCACTCTCTACACTGCCCCTAAGGTGGATACACTCACCTACGACAATGAAATTCGCGATACCTTTGCGACACTCCTGGACGACGTATGCCATGATGTTGAGATAGAGCCGAAACATCATTGCACACTTCGTCCAGGAGGGACGCATAGGTATCACGAATTTCATTGTCTTAGGTAGACGAAGTATGCCATGATGTTGAGATAGAACGGAAAGAGCATGCAAGAAAGTTTCTAGGAGACGAAGTATGCCATGATGTTGAGATAGAACGGAAAGAGCATGCAAGAAACTTTCACCAGGACGCTCGAAATGACATCAAGGCAAATGCACTCTGGGGAGGCCGAACCTTTTTCGATGTAAAACTTGTCAACCCCATGCTAAATCCCGCCCTACACCTGTATCTGGCGCCTGCAAATTTCATGAGTGTCAAAACATTAAAATACCAACAAAGAATTTTAGATGTGGAACACAGCACCTTTGTTCTACTAATTTTTAAGTGTACTGGAGGCGCAGCACCAGGCTCTACAAAAACCGTCCAGAAACTAGCAGAGAAATAAAAAACTAAATTACAAAAGGGGCCCTTCCGTTTAGTTACGGTAAGTGCACAAGCTGGATAGGGCCATACCAGCGATATAAAAATGCATATATCAGCAATGAAGTCATAAATCAGCATTAAATGCATCGTCATAATGTTAATTTATCTTAGCCGTCCTTCCTCTACAATAGCGCTTATGGAGTTGTCGATAAATTGAACTTTGCGTTTTTCATAGTTTAAGTGAGAAATAGGTTCAACGCAACAAGCAGAGAAATTAAGCGAAAAACGGAAGGAATCATACTCCGACACTATAAACTTTGTAAGAAACAAAATAAGTTTTGCACTTCTGAGGAGTGCAATCCTCTGCCTCAGTGGGTGCAAAAAACTTTCAAATACATACAACATAGACAATTCCATCAGTGCTATAATCGAGGAGGGATGGTTTTAATTGGCAATTCTCTGATGTTTTCAAATCGATTTGATTTATTCATAAAAGTTTGCCGATGTATTTATATAGCGCTGGTATGGCCCTATCCAACCTGTGCACGGCCGTTGGATGACGGAAGGGCTCATTTTAATTCACCCCCTTAGAGAAGCATCAAGTTTCTTGTCGAAGCAACTGAATGGAGTTATATGTTATCAAAATTTAAGTCAAATTGAGCTGCTGCTTGACGAAGTGGCCACGAACTTTCAACTCACTTTGGAACTTAATGGAACAAGGTTCCGTTGCTGAATAAAATAGCAGCAACGTGCCTCCATTCTAATTTTACATGTTTTGAAAGATCGGCCAATCTCCAAAAATGAGCTATTGAAAATTCATAATTTAAGTGAGAAATAGGTTCAAAGCAAACAAATCTAGTAGCATTGGGTGTTGCTTTTGTACCAAAAAGAATAGATAATTGAAAGAAAAATAAATTTTACACACAGAGGCGAAGCTGCACTTCACAAACCTAAACGACAACACGGCAAAACAGCTGTTGTATTGAAAATGCTGTTAGAAAAATTAAAAAATCTGCCGACGGTTTTCAATCGTCAGAGCTAGAGATTTCGAATCAAATGCCTTTCCATTAGCGCTTACAAACCTTCATTCATCAGTTGGCAATAAAGTCGATAAAACACGAGCAGTACACGAATACTAAGTGCGCATTTATGCTGAGCACTAATTTATGCAAGTTAGGTTGAAAAAATTAGACAGACTGTAAAACACTACGCTTGTCCTAGAGTAAATATGCATAATTTTGACCATTTGCTTTTAGGTGAATTATCCGAAAAACAATTGTTGAAAATTTCGTTACAAGACAGGAAACCAACGAACATACCAACAAAACAGGTGTCATCTAGAGGTGCATGGAAGCTCAGTTGCCTGGAGTCGAAGCAAATTATTGCTTTGTATGTAAAACACACGAACGATCTACACTTCTACGAGAACTTTGAACATTCATTCTATGTACAGAGCCCCTTCTCTGGTCAAATTAGTCAGTTACAAATCACGCAAGACTTCCTTATAATAGGACAACTGGAGAAACACATCGTTCAAGTCTATAAAACTAATCTTACTCACAAGACGCTCAGCGCATTTATACAAATTGAAGGATTTTGGGGAAACTTTGCTATTCATGGCGCTTTATTGTACACATCAATAATGGGAAGTCAGAAGGAGGTAGTAGTGACAAATCTGAAGAGTAAGTCTCAGCATCACCTAGAAGCAGAAACAAAATTTGTACCTCTCGTCGCTCTTGATGATAAAATATTGCTGACAAAAGAAAGACATAATAACACTACAATTCACGTCTTTATAATTCCCGCAATTGATTCTGCTCAATCAGAGATGGTTAATTAAATACAGTATTGAAATCAAAGTTTTCCCAGGCGCAACCATATAGGCGAATAAATCAAGGACGGATATTCTTTTACTGTTTCGAAACAAACTTATCAGTTATACTTCATTTGTTTTTAATTATATTTCATTTGTGTCTTTTGAATTGGAGAATTTTCTGTAAAATTAGTAGCAAAATTCAGAACCAACGGAAGTAATTAAAAAGAGCAATCTTCGTCTTCGTAGGGCGTTTTCGAGCATTACTGCCCATTGCCCGCCATATGTATATCTCTCACAATTGCTTTCCACTGCGGCCTGTTCAGTGCAGTATCTTTGGCCAAATCGAACCAGCTTGCCTCCCAGTTCTTGTGGGTCATTTTTTGGGGTTTCAAGAATGGGCGGAGTTCCTTCTTCACTAACCGTCTCCACGAGTTCTTTACTCCACCGGGGGGTCTCTTCCAGTTGTCGGCTTTCTCAAATTCCAGGCATGCGTTGGGTATCATGTTGGGTTCCATGCGTAGGGTGTGCCCTAGCCATTTGAGGCGTCTTTGTTGTACGGTGGAACTTATGGTGTCTGTCGGAGCACCAAGGTTTCTCAGGCATCTGCAGTTGAAGGAGTCGAGGCGTTGAGTATCGGATGCCTTGACTGGCCAGGATTCACATCCGTACAGGAGCACGCTTTCGACACATGCTTTGTATACTTTCGATTTGATTCTGGTCGGGACTGATCTTTGTTTCCAGAGCTTGTCTAATTGTTTGAAGCGTCCTGTTGCTTTTCCGAGGCGGATCTGGATTTCGTGTGACACGTCACCATCGAGTTGCAGGTTGCTGCCTAGATAGGTGAAAGTATTCACCCTATCTATGGGGGCGTCATTGCAGGTCATTTGGTCTCCAGGATAAGCAGAGCAGAATTTCGTTTTGGATGTGTTTATTTCAAGACCGCCTTTTGCAGCGGCGCGAGTGACTAGATCAAGAAGTGTCTGTGCATCTTTGATATTGTCTTCAAGTAAACAGATATCATCAGCGAAGTCTAGATCTGTAATTACCATATCGTCAAGGGCGATGCCAAGGGGTTGGTTTTCCGTTGCTTCGAGCAATGCCCAGTCGATTACAAGGTTGAACAAGAATGGTGCAAGTATCGAACCTTGTCTGACCCCTGAGACAATGGCAAATGGGTTAGATAGTGAGTTGTAAACCCTGACTGTACTAAACGTTTCTGTGTACATGGCTTTTAGGATTTGGAGGATTTTGGATGGGAGGCCGTGACTCTCGAGGATGCACCAGATTGTCTCGCGGTTGACGCTGTCAAACGCAGCTTTAAAGTCAATAAATACGAGAACAGTCTGTCTATTGTATTCGTGTCTTTGTTCTACTATTTGTCTGATTGCAAATATTTGATCGCGACATCCGCGCTTCTTTTTGAAGCCAGCCTGGTTGTCTCTAGCAACTGTATCATAGGCTGGTTCGAGCCTGTTTTTAAGGATCGCCTCTAAGATCTTGAAAGCGATATTCAAGAGTGAGATGCCACGATAGTTTGAGCATTTGGCTTTGTCGTCTTTTTTGTGGATGGGGACTATGACTGCTGTCTTCCAGTCATTTGGAATCTTTTCCTCTTTCCAAATAAGTGAGAGAAGGCGTTGCAAGTGGGGAAGAAGTTCATGTTGGCCATGAATAAAAAGTTCCGGGTGGATATTATCATTTCCTGCTGCTTTGTTTGACTATAATTTTCTTATTGCGAGCGAGATTTCGTCCAAACTGGGTGTATCAGTGTTGATTTGTGAGAGGGCTTGGCTGCGAATTTGAGGGGTCGCTAGATTTTTTGTTGGCCGGTTTAGTAGTTGTTCGAAATGGTTGGCCCATTGTTTAATTTTGTCATTTGTATCAGTGATAAGTTTTCCATTCTTGTCTTTCACTGTATCGATGTTTGAGCAATCTGCCAGTTTTGATCAATTTTTGCATGCAAATTGGAATTTTTCGGTGACCTTTAGTCTGTTAAAGTAAGTATAGGTATGTTGTGCTGATGATCTGTATGTGTTGCATGTATTAGTTTCAGTTAAAATTGAATACAAGGGGGAGCCGTGGTGGCCCCAATAGTCAATGTTGAATTGTTGAAAAATTTGATCACGACGATATTTTCTGGATTACTTATCACTGGACACTGGGTGGAACTACATGTGACATTCGACCAGAATGTGAAAAATGCAATCTCTGCAGAATTCGAATTTTTAGCAGCGAGCCTTCCGGATTGGTGATTATTAAGAATTAAGAACGTTTTTGGAACGATTGGCCAAACGGTGAGGGCTGGAATATTCTGGTATTTTGAAATTTCAAAAATTCGAATTATGACGTCATATTTCTGAGAAACGTCAGAAAAGGCCATTTTGGCTAAAACAAGAAAGAAAAACAGAACAACATTAGCTGCGCTAACAACAACTACGAAATCGAGATCGGAAAACGACAACGAGTTGCAGGAATAGCAGTGAACACTCCGAGTTGCAACTATTGTGTCGCTACAATAGTTGCAAGGCCGTTGCAGACAACGGTGAAGGGTGGAAGATAGCCTTCCGGATTACAAAGAAATCAAGATTAACGACCTTGATTCAGTGGATTCAAGAATCCGGAAGGGTTTCGGAACTGAAACTTTCATTCTTTTATATAAACTTTTAGCTTCTTATCATGTCCTGATTTGAATTTAATTAACATCTAGATTCATTTTGATAAGGATGAGAAGCTAGGAGTTGGGGGAAAGGGTTGATCCATCTTCGATGGAGATGATGAGTTTTATCTACTGAACAAAAACAATAGTAATATAATAAGTAGTAGCCCTGTTTTTAGGAGTGACCTCGTGGTCTGGGGATACTGAGACCCAGCCTTGAGCTCACTATTTCTGCATGTAATCTAGTTAATTTGAGTGTTTTGACCGAAGCCGAAAGCAGTAACGTTTTTGTCGACCCGATGTTAGAAAGACCACCGAAAAGTACTGCCTTGGTAGAGACGGTGAAAAGCATGCAAAGCTCTGTTTAGACGTTAGCCAGTCGTCTTAAGACTTAGTTTTGTCTTCCGTCGATATGTATCTTCCGGGCGAATGTTACATAGATGTTTTTATGGCGCTCCTGGGTGTTATTCTTTTTAACATCATGACCGGCAGAACCGTTAACGAGCACTCCGCGCCGAGCGGATGCTCACATTAACGCCCTTAATAGGCCTAAACCGCCGGGGTGGAAGGGTAGTTTGGAACGCGGAAGCCTTCCGGATTACCGTGAATAGCTTTTTAACTTAGTAAAGACCGAAAATTCACGAACCAGGAAGGGTGGGGGGATTCGCGGTCCCGTCATCTCCTGAATGGTTTGTGACCAAAAACACTTAAAGATATATATAAAACCAAACAAAAAGTAGTATAGTACCCAAGAAAAACAAAAAACATAAAAAAATATACGAAAAAACCAAAAACAGTAAAAAAGTAAAAAATCAGTAGAAATCATCACCCCAGACAAGATGTGATCCGACCCCCCCGTTTGTTGTTGCTAGATATATTGTTGTTACAGGCATTTATATCAGTCAAGATCGTTACGATCAGTTTTGTGGCCCGTTTGTGAGGCTTGTACTGTAGGGTTATTTGAGCATTTAAGCACGTTAATGATAAATTGCGCTCAATCCGGAAGGGTCAGCTGATTTGCGCTCAATTCGGAAGGGTCTTGGGAGAAGACTAATCCGGCAAGCAGTACAAGGAGCAACAGGAAGGGGCTCAACGACAACAACAATCGATTGTTGGGTATCGTTGGCAAGTTTTGTATCCCTTTTGGTACAAAAATTAAGATTAAACAAAGTGATCTGTGGGGGGCTCGACAGTGCTGCACTGTAGTGACCCTTCACCGAACTGCGAATATCCGAGTTAAGCACCTTAATTCGGATATTAAACAAACCCGGAAGGGTATAGTACTACTAATATTATTAATTATATAGCCTATATTAATAGTCTTATATCGTTTTTCAGTCAAAAACAACGAAAACAGACCGGTTTTTAGGGTCAAAATAGCGATATTTTGATCCCCCCACAAGTCGCGATTTTTGAAATATCGATGTTTTTTGAAACGGAAAAAAGCGCTAAGTTAGTGTGTTACATCGTAACTGCACTACCATTATAGAGAGAACCGGTTAAGTTTAGTTCGAAAGTGGTTGGAACTATTTTGGTATTGAGAACCGAAATTTGGTGATTTTTGAGAAAACGAAACACGATAATTTTAGAATTTTTTTTGAAATTTTTGAGTTACAACAGTAAAAATAGTTGTTCGGACAATGTCCACTAGTGAATCTACAAGTTTTAAAACCCGCTACCCGAAAGCCTTCCGGGTTGCAGAGAAATCGAACTTAACGTGTTTGATTTGGTGGATTCATCAATCCGGAGGGGTACAGGTAGCATAGTTTTTCGCAAATTTTTTCAGCAAAAGCGTTTTAGATCGGGTCTTTTGCATTGAACTAGAAGAGTATAGGCCTTCTGAGCTCGGATCAATAATTTTTAGGTCGAAAGGACCTGATTTGCGGAAAAAGTTAGGCGGAACCTATAAGAGAGAAAATTTTTTGAGTTTAGAAAAAAGACGTTTTGGTTAATAACTTTGGAACTACTGGGCATATTGAGTTGATCTTGGTACCAATAGATCAGAAATTAGCTGAGCTTACTGATAGGGACAAAAGTTTTTTGGAAAAGTAAGCGTGAAAATTTTTTGAGATTGTTTTTAGCAAATTCCTCAATTTGGAAGGGTACACCCTTCACGTTTTACAAAATTTTTTTTAGAAAAGCCCTTATACCCCTACCAAAAGGTAATAGCGGTTGAATAAAGTAACTTTAGGCTGTTCTAGACTAAAGTCCGGGGAGTGGGGGGAGTGGGGGGAGTGGGGGGAGTGGGGGTAGGACTTACCCACACTGAAAACTTGGTAATAAAAAAATTAAGAATAGCAAGAGAAACAGGAGACTTAGAAGCAGAATCAGGCGAAGAGCCTGAGAAACCTGACATAGGCAGGGTAGTTGAGTCATATTTTAACTTACCAAAT